ACCATAACTTGAAGACTAATGGTTGGAATTCCAGTGTTTTTTTTGGTCAAAATATTCAGCGATATTCGGCCCCTTTCCCCACCTCTGGGAATATATATTTTTCCCCATGAAATTGCGAAAATTCCCCACCCTCAAAAAAATAAACCCAAACAAGAATCAAACTGAACTGAAGTCACTCAGTTAATAAAGTTGTTAACTAATTTCAATTAGTTGTTTTATTTATTTTATAGGATTGTTAAAAAATCATGTATTTTTAGTCTTTTTATTGAATATTAATAACACTGAAAATTCCCCTTTTTTGGCATTTACGCGCTATTTTTCCCCATCCAATGGGCACTGACCCCCTTCCCCCAAAACTGAAAAAAATCACTGAATTCAATATAACTTCGTACAATGGTCAAGCACATTGAGACAAAGTGCAGTGCACAAGAACCATAACTCCATCTTGACTAATTACAGAGTTATTGCCCTTTGTTACTTTTCCTTGTCCAGAGCATAACTTGAAAACTACTGTTGGAATTCAATACAACTTCATACAGTTGTCAAGGACATTAAAAGGAAGTGCAGTGCACAAGAGCCCTAACTCCATTTTGACAAAATACAGAGTTACTGCCCTTTGATACTTTTCCTTGTCAGGAGCATAACTTAAAATGTACTGGTTGGAATTCAAAACAACTTCATACAATGGTCAAGCACAATAAGAGGAAGTGCAGTGCACAAGAACTATAACTCTATCTTCAGTATTTATAGAGTTATTGCCCTTTGTTCCTTATCTTTGTCTTTCTGGACTTATTACAGAGTAATTCAATTAAACTTCATCAATTGCCAACCACATTGAAAGGAAATGCAACATATAAGAACCACAACTATCTTTAATTGCCCACAACCATAACTCTATATTTCGATTCTTTTACAAGGTATTCTGTTTCTAGTAACATCCTCATTTCTGAAGCAGTCTTGTGTGGGTATTAATCACATTTAGTGATAGTTCTAGTTTTTGAAGTCCTTGAAAAGTATGTTATGTATGCAAAATGTAAAACATAATAGGTTAAATAACTTCTTTATACTCTAATTCATTGTGCCAATACCTGTCAGCAATCATTTCATTTAGTTTTCAGAGAAAACTTCAAAGTAAAATGTTCAGTGTCAAAGAATTGTCAAAACATAAATGCCAGAAACAGAATATTTAATCTAAATATATAGAATAAAGGTATTGGCGCAATAATCTAGAGCAAAATGAAGGTGTTGGACACATTTCTATTTAGAATTTTGTATTACAATATAATTTTTATGAACTTCAAATATTTTGTTTCCAGAAAATGGTAAAAAAAGAGAAATAATTCTAATAAAATAAAAGATAACCAAAATATTTTGATTTTGATTTGTATCATATATCAATGCTTAATAAACAAAAAAGTGAGAAAGAAACTTATTAATTATTTTTCTAGAAATATGATATTTTTGTGCCCCCACATTAGTGGCGGGCATTTAGATTTACCCTTGTCCGTCCATCCGTCCGCACTCACAGGAGAGTAATTATGTGGCTAGAGGGACAACAGGTAACTGTTCTTTCTCTTTGATGTCATTCATTCTGTAATGCTTTTATTTGGCTATTTTCTTTTGTGTGGCTAAAAAGAACAATAGAGAGAACAATAGAGTAGCCACATAATTACTCTCCTGTTAGAACGTCCGTCCTTCCGTCCGTCCGTTCTCTTTTGTGTCGCACGTAACTCAAAAAGTATTTGACCTAGAGTCATGAAACTTTACAGGAATGTTGATCACCATGTGAAGTTGTGCACCTGGGTATTTTTGTCTGGATATTTTTAGTATTTTTAGAGTTATTTCCCTTGACTTGGTAAAATTTTGCAATTTTCAACTTGTGTCGCATGTAACTCAAAAAGGATTTGACATAGAGTCATTTAACCTTATGGGAAGGTTGCTCAGCAAATTTAGTTTTGCTCCTGGGGTTTCGCCTGTGGATTTATCCAGTATTTGTAGAGTTATTTCCCTTGACTTAGTAAAAACTGTTTCATTATGTTGTTATTTGTTCCTTGAGTGCTTGAGAATCGACCAACTTTACAGGAATAATGATCAACATCACTAAATTACAGAAATTATAATTCACATCACTGTGAAGCTATGAACCTGGGACTTTGCATGTGGATTTTTTTTCAGTTTTGTTAGAGTTATTGCCCTTGACTTACAGTAGTATAAATTTGCAATTTTCAACTTGGGGTTTGCTTGGATATTTATTCAGTTATTGTAAAGTTCTTGCCCTTTACTTAGTAAAAAGATTTTTAGTTTTCGAAAAATATTTGCCCTAGAGTCATAAGATTGACAGAACAGTGGCGCGGTGGGGGCACCCGTGTCCTATGGACACATTTCTAGTTATGTCTAAGCCCCATCAGCATTTTCACCAGCCTGTTCATTGACACATGAATTTTTCAAGATTCAAAAATGTGATTGAGATCAAATCAAAACCATTTGCAAAATGTTGACTACACACACGATCGTAAGCTGAGGGATCGCATTGTTTAAGTTTATTTCTGTCGTCAACCCGGTCCCAAGTCGGTCTGGCCGCAAAGTTTAGGTCAATCTGGCCCACTTTATTTCTAGCGGGTCAATTCAGTCCCACGATAGATTTTCAAAATATATTTTTATATAAATAACATAGAAATAAAATTATCATTTTTTTTTTTTTAAATAATTCTAGAGGTATCTCTATTTGCCATTTCCAAAACATTAACGTTGATTATTACTTTTTAAGTTGTTAGTGTATTGTCTTCATATATAATCATAACAACCCTTGGGACAAGACTTTAAAGTAGACCAGACTAAACTTGACCTTCATTCATAAATGATCTAGACCTACAAGGTCAAATATCTAATTTTTGCTTGATGTTTGCTGATTTTGTATATTATAATGGCTATAACTTTGTTGTTTTTGAATGGATTATCTTCAATTCAAACTTTAACACAACAATCTTCTAGGATAGTCCATCAGGTAAACCAGACAGACCTTGACCTTCACTTATGATAAATAACTGAATTATTGAAATTTTCTTATTTGCTATAACTGGTTATAACTTTGTTATTAATGAATGGATTGACTTCATGTTATTAAAATAAAACATAACATTCTTTAGGATAAGACCTTCATGTATGTCAAACTCAAATTGACCTTGGCTCTTTAATGACCTTGACTTTTGAAGGTTAGATTATTGAGTTTTCACTGAATTTTGCTATAATTGCCTGTACATGTAACTTGGTAATTAAATGAACTTGACTGTCAAGGTCAAATTATTGAATTTTGATTAAATTGTATTTAATTATGGATTTGAGTTATACTTGGACAAAACAAGACTTTCTATCAAACAAACATATTGAATCATTCAGATGTGACCTTGTCTTTTAAATGACCTTGACTGTCCAGTTCAAATTTTTGAATTTTGGTTAAACTGTCATAATTTTGTTATTGTTATACTTTTTGATTATATTTGAGTTATACTTGGACAAAATAAGATTTTCTACCAAACAAACATATTGAATAAATTCAGATGTGACCTTAATCTTAAGAGACCTTGACAGTCAAGGTCAAATTAATATATATTTTTTTATTTTATCCTTTGATATCACCTGACCTAGATTTTGATGAAGGGACCTTTATACTTGGATATCAGTTGATAATTTGACAAAGTGACCTACTTTCTTGTCCTTTGATGTACAGCTATGAAATTTAGACCAAAGTGGAAATTGAATCAAACAAAGTTTATGACTGAAATTGTTTATCCATGTCATGAAATGGTTTTAAAACAAGACTGAGCATAAATTTTGTAATAATAAATGAGCATATCTTATGAAAAATTTACACTCTAATTATTTCTCAAGGATGACTAGATTTAGTAGTTGGTTAAAGAGGGAAACGGACAAAAGCCCTCCCGGACAAAAGCCCTCCCGTCCAAAAATGACAAGGACAAAAGCCGTACCGTGAAAATGAAAGGGCAGGCAAAAGCCCTTCTGTGGAAATGACAGGGCGGACAAAAGTCCTCCCGTGAAAATGACTGGGCAGACAAAAGCCCTCCCGTAACAAAAAATATATGTATGTTAAATACCTGTTTTTTTTTCAATGCACTCAACAATTTAAAGCTTTAAAATATATATTGTTGTTGTTTTCAATTGGCCTAAGTATGTGTTTGAGCTAGAACCACCTTTCATTCTGAATATACTTTTCTGAAATGTTTAACAAGGTAATTGACACATTACAAGGCACCTTATAAATGTCTTGGTTATAGTTTAAAATTTTAGTTAAATTAAACTTCTTTTCATCATTTATTACTCTATTAATCTTAACTGCACATGGGATTTATCCTTTAATATTTACGTGAATAAATATGTACTAACAGATTTTAGCATTATTATTCCGATGCCCGTCAGAAATGTGCTCAAGCTTATACAAACATGCTTGAGCCAATGGGAAACAAAAATATTCATGATTACAATTTTAATATGTTGAGTGCATTGAAAAGAAAATACAAACTATTCAACGCACATGTACATATATGTATATGCTGCTGGAGGGCTTTTGTCCGCCCTGTCATTTTATGGGAGGGCTTTTGTCCACCCTGTCATTTTCATGGGAGGGCTTTTGTCCGCCCTGTAATTTTCAAGGGAGGGCTTTTGTCCGCCATGTCATTTTTGGATGGGAGGGCTTTTGTCCGGGAGGGTTTTTGTCCTTGAGAGTTACTGTATTTTAGAACACTTTGAAAGAACATTCTGTAGCAAACTATCATAAATTCACATATCAGTTTCCATTATAATTTTACTATCATACAGCTCTATCTAAGCCAAAATTTTATGAAAGAGTCACTTTTCCCTCAGCTCATATAAGGGAGAAGTTTGTATAATCAGTTTCCTACTTTATCTTTAATTCTTAATTTTCATAAGTTCATTTTCCTAGAGAAATAATGTATTATTATTTGTTTTATATATAAACTTTACAGGAATCGACCCGCAAGTTTTTGTGCAGGCTGCCAGTATTATGAAATTGAGAAAACCTCCAAATTATGATCGTAAGCTACTATTATTGTCTTGAATTTATAAATACATGTACATATTTCCAAGAGTTAAACAGTTTCTTGCTTAAATATTTTAATTCTTGTTCTCGTGTAACAGGCTAAATATTTATGTTTATAGTTATTTTCACTGTTGGATTATTCTTTAAGAAAGAACACATTATTGTGTTGCTATTTTTAGCATTATACTCTAGATTAAACGTATGCTTTGGACTTGTCATTAAGTTTCAGTATTAAAAAGATTGTTGTTGATATTGTCATTGATATTTAATGAACTGAGCATCCAGTCATATCATACAGCCCAGACAGTACCAGTGTCAAATATCTGCTATTTTTAGCTCGACTATACGAAGTATATGGAGAGCTGTCGTACTCGCCCCGGCGTCCGCGTCCAGATTTCAGATTAAAGTTTTGGTGCAGTAAAATATTTTTCACTATAACTTTGTCATTTCTTAAGGTATCAACTTCAAACATCAAATATATGTTCCTTATCATCAACCACATCTTATGTGACAAGGTTCATAACTCTAGCACCAATATTTTCAGATTTATCTCCCCTTGAACTTAGAATTTTCCTTAAAAAATTCTATTTTTTACTGTTACTTCTTTATTTCTTAAGGGATCAACCTCATACTTTCAAATATATGTACCTTATCATCATCCCATCTTATGTGACAAGGTTCATAACTCAAGCACCAATATTTCAGATTTATCTCCCCTTGAACTTAGAATTTTCTTTAGAAAATATTATTTTTTACTGTAACTTATTTATTTCTAAAGGGAATCAACTTCATACTTTAAATAAATGTACCTTATCATCATCCACATCTTATGTGACAAGGTTCATAACTCTAGCACCAATATGCAGAATTATCTCCCCATCAACTTAGATTTTTTACTAGAAAAATGTTTTTTTTACTATACTTTTTTAGTTTTAAAGGTATCTACCTCAAACTTCAAATACTTATTCCTTATAATCAATTATATTTTATGTGACAATGTTCATAACTCTTGAAGTATTTATTACAGATTTATCTCTCTTTGAACTTAGGATTTTCTTTAAGAAATATTATAACTTTGTTACTTTTTAAGGTATCTACTTAAGTCACCTACACAGTAATAGAGGTCATATGGTGACAAAACAGCTTTACTGATGGTTTCAGCTGAATCCATGAAACTATTGCAAACTAAGATCAGTCGGCACAACCGTGTTTTTCTTATCATAGTCTCCACTGTTTGATATTCGTAATCATATAATATCATTTTGAAGTTTTACCTAAAAACAAACAATGGTTTTGTCTAGATTGAAAGATAGAGTTGTCCATTTAAAATGTTTAGAGTGGTGAAGAGTAAAATGCTAAAGAATCGTTTTATGTCATCAGTTAAACATAAAAAAACACTTTATATTCTTTTTAAGATGTTATTTATCCGGAGAAACGAAGGTTTAAAATGTTGGAGAAAACTCCAGAGAATGTACCAGGGACCTATAAAAGTGCTCAACCTATGCAGAAACGAATAAACTTGATGCGTGGACCTGAATTAACTCATAATAGAATACTCTATGGAGACTATGCTATACAGGTGAGATCAGTTTCTTGATGGTTTTCAAAATTCAGAAATTTTCAAAAAATCTTTTTTTTTGCATACATGACAATTGGCATGATGTCAGTTGTAAGTAACATCTGAGAGTGACATCATGGAGATTTTGTTATGGTACAGTCTTATATGTTCACTTGTGCTACTGTTGACATTCTTCGATAGCTCACTTAGGTACAGAGTGCTCAGAGGTGAGATGTTATGATGGCGTGTCCAAGCACATGTCATTATTCACATTTATTTTTCGAGAAATTGCCAACATCTCTCTCCTAAACCATACAGCTGATTTTGACCAAACTTCTAAGGAGTTATCATCATGGGATACTTTACAAAGGCTGATATTAGATAAGGGATTTTTGAATTTTTTTTATATTTTTATATGGACCTGTATAAAACAAAATAATCCTGGGAGCATAATAATTGCTTGTTTGTTTGTCTTTTTCATCTTTACCTTATAGGTTATTTTCTTAAAGTTTCACATAGTCAGTTCTTAAATGAATTGACAGTCACAGATATCTAAGACGTTGGATTTGAAGTTGTGTGGCCGGTTAAATTATTGTCAGAAGGCATTTCAGATAAAGACATAAAATAAGTTAAACAGTTTACTGCTAAAAATTTTGTTTGTTTGTTTTTTGGATTGGGTTTTACATCACACCAACACATTATAGATCATAATGGCGATGTTCCAGCTTTACTGGTGGAGGAAGACCTTCCGTGCATTATTTCAAGCACGAATGGGAACTTAAGTAGAACCATCAATATTCCGTAAGCTAACTGGATAGCTTCTTCACATGAAAGAATCCGAAGTCTCTGTCAGGATTCGAACCCACAGCGGTGAGGGGCCTGCTAAAAATATTTCAACATTTACTTCATACAGCAGTTGTCCAGATATGATACAGCAAACTGTATACATATGAAATTAATGTTGGATCCATTTCTAGAATGCTTCATTTATTATTTATATTTTGACAGATTTATGACCCTTTTTGAAGTTAGAAAGTTCTAAACTATCCCGGCTCTTGTTTTACTATCAAACACTGAGAACATTTCAGCATGCTGTCCTACTGACAGCTCTTGTTTAGTTATTTGGTCTTATGAAGTGAATGGTATGAAATTTACACAAACCGTTTCAAAAAAATTAATTTAAATAAATTTTTGTCTTCCAAGAAGAATTAGCATTTGTATATGATTAGTATGACTATATTAGCAGTGCTCTTGTTTTTTTTTTAGTACATGTATATTAATTTCTTATTTTTCCAATATTTCAATAACATATTTTTCAATATTATAGGCTATGCAAGGGGGACGGTTGAAACCAATGCATGTGGACAACATGCGTCTGTTAACTATAAGAAAAATGGACGATAAAAAAACATTTGCTCATTGGAGAATCGATGCACCTTGGCAAGCAGTGCCCAAAAAAGGGCTAGGTGTGAGAATGGGTGGTGGAAGGAACACACCAAAATATTACGCCATACCAATAAGAGCGAGACGAATACTTTTTGAAATGGGCGGCCACCTGGAGTTTGCGGAGGTAAAGCCTATCCTACAAGCTGTGGTGGACATGTTGCCGTTCAAAGCAAGAATAGTGTCACGTGAATCTCTTGAAGCCTTAAATAAACAGGAAGAATTACTTGAGAAAATGAATCAAAACCCATTTACTTTCCAATATGGAGCTGACAATAATTTGTTAGGAATTCAAAAATGGTTAAGTCCCTATGACTATTTATGGTATGGTAAATTTAGATAGTTTAAAACATACATGTATCAGAAACATTTTAGAATTAAAATTTTAAAAAACAAATTGCTTTTTATTGTAAAATCTTTGTCATTCATTTAAAACAACACTTCAGGGCCATGGTCAAAATTTAGAGTAGCAAATTCTTCTTCTGTGAGAACATTTCATTCAAATATTTCTCAGACTTCTGGCAAGAATGTATTCCAACTTGGCCCTTTTGTATATGATATTCTGTCAAGAATGCACATCTGATTACACACTAAAGGGAGTCAAATAGAAAGTTAACACATTTTTTTGAAACAGGAGAATGAACGTATGT